TTTTGTCTGCTTCACAACAACTGAAACTGTTCCTCCACTAGCATGGCTGCTCCTGCAACTACCACAGTAATTCCTCCTTGTACGTAACGCAATCTCGCTAAGATTTATGCGTAGTTTAGAGCAAAAATGCTGCACAGTTATATATGCAATATGCTACTTCTACGCAAGTAGCACATTGGACGAGAACCATTCTTCGACATTTATTTGGATTAAAGTCATAGACTTTTTTTGTCGGGCGATGAGCTATGGAACTTCTTCCTCAGTTCTCGTGGCTTCATGTTGGGTGACATTTGGGTTTTGTCCGTGACAGCTCGTGTTATCCGTAATGTGGGTAATGAGACAAAAATAGACAACCTAGTATAGAACCTTCCGACAGACTAATGTTAGGGAACTATCGACGAGAAATGACTCTTCTAAACACTAAAACGGCGGGTGTGGGTAATGATAAAACTTCAGTTCGACGCAATTTGCGGGCAACGAGTGCCTGCGCAATATAAGTTATGGGCGAATCCTAATTACATGAAAGACCTTTAGGAGGAAGCAAAGGGGTTTCAGGATGAAGCAGATAGGCACGGTGAAAAAAAACTTACTTTTGCAGCCTTGCTGAGTTCAATACCAGCAGAAGGCCCACTCATTGACGAGGTGTCGCTAAATGAACGGTGCCTAAAAGTAAAATATTCTTCGTGCTTTCGAAAAGAAGTGCGTTAAAATGCATGAATCTGGAAAGGTAATACCTCAGATGGACTAACAAAGCCTCACACTAACTAACGCGCACAGCGGCAGCAGCCGTGTTACTAGTCCAAGAGTTACGCATGGTATCCAATACCTAAAACCCAGAACGTCAGTACATTGTAAATCATGCCATCTTTTGGAAACGTGAACACTAGAGAGCAATGTTTTGAACAGGAAATATTATTGGTAGTCAAAACGCGTGGAGATTAGTACTTTGCTGCGGCCAATGATGAGTTCACTATACAGTAGTACTACCTACTGATCACACCACAGGGCAGCTACCAAAATAATCAAAAGGCCACAAAATCCCCAGTCACAGACTGTTTAAGTGTGTGGACACAGTGGTTTCATATACCCGTAAGGAAGACCTGAAGTAGCGAACGAAATGAGGTATTCCCGAGATCGAGGTGAATTTTTCCCACACAAGAATTTGGAATAAATTGGACACAATGGGGATTAAGTGGAGGGTATACGAGAAACGCCATCAACCACAAAGTTATGCCCAGATTATAAAAGACTTGAGGGTTCAGAATCAATAGTACGAAATCTAGACTTTACAGTGAAAAAGGGACCAGTAACATAGGGCGATTAAAGCTAAAAAATTGGTCAAGGGAATTTAACCCTGCATTTTGTCAGGATGAACGATTCAGATAACAACGCCCTTTTGTGCTGTCTTGAGCCCACTAGTTTCTGCCAAATCGATTAAAAAATTCATATGCACAGAAGCAAAAAGACCGAGTTTAACATACCCCTTCGTGTCCATAGCTGGCTGTTCGCCTTGTTGAGGTGGAAGAGGTGGTGTGGAGGGGCGCTGAGTTGGTTCTTTGTCGATCGCGGGGCTTTGATGGGCGGAGAGGCTCGAAGCGAGATCCATGGGAACCATGTCCTCTTCCTCTTCTACTTTCTGTGACGATTGGGGCGCATCATGAGAATTCAGCGCAACCGCTGGTACCGTGGCGGCGTGATTTGTAGCGGGCTGGCAGGCAGGAAGGTGCAGGAGTTCTGGCACATAGACGTCGCTTGGGGAAGCGGCTAGGGTCCTCGATTCTGAGTGGGCAGACAATCAGTGTAAGACAGCGGACAGGCAGCGGTGGTCGTATTCGTCCGCAAACTGAGGCTGATCGGATTACCCGGTAGTATCAAGTTTTACTGGACTTATAACTAAAGAATAGCTTAATGGTTTTGTAGAAGTGATTTGTTTTATCATTTTCACTTTTAAAAATACTCTACATCAGGCTGGACGCCATAGATGGTTCTTTACATTTACCCTAGTCAGGCTTATATGTTAATATTGGCGATTAATTGCACTGCAATCACCATGTACACAATTAGTCAAAAACATGAGGATACTTTTAGCTTCATAGGAACGCATTTAAACTTGTCCATGAATTTTACTTTCTTTGAAAGTGGAAAATGTGGTTCACCACAGGAATAATCTAGAGAATACGCAATTGAGTATTTGTGCACAGGACTTGGCTAATGACGTGCATCATTTCATGCAGATTACATCAGGAAAAAAAAGAAAGACTCAAATCAGTTATTTTAAACCCACCAACTAAAATGCTAACACATGATGATATTTAATAAATAATAAAAATTGCTAAAAGTCTACGAAAAATTATTAAAAAAGATAAGTTAGTAATGTGTCCATGGTGAAAAATCCTTTGGATGTGACGTGTTTGATCACGAAAATTGTGGCTGGTATCTGTTGTTACGTTAACTTAACGGAAGTAGATATACCAGTACTCGATTTATGAGATATGGATCTGAAATACTACATTTTGATGGCCTATATGCATTGTGATGCCTTCAAAATTCAGCTGCCAACGGCAACCGTAGTTCACTTGATGTGTTTTGGTGGGTTTTGTGGGGACCTTTCATAAATAATCATCACCATGGCAACTTTCGTGCAAAGAGCCAGTTAAAAACACAGGGATTGGGATAAGTTAAGTAGAATGCAGGAGTGAAGCGACTTATAACTATTGGTACTTGTAAGTACGTGGTTAACGTCCAAAGGAGCAGGAAAATATGCAAGAATAAGACCATGGGTGGAGTTTAATGTCTGAAAATAATTACACTACAATCAGGAACCTAAAATATTTTAGACCAGTCAATTCGTCTAAATAGATTGTGGTTGTGAAAGTCAATTGTGCCCCATAAAATAAACGCACTTTCACCGGTTTAGCAATAATATAAAGACTTATACAAGAGGGTAGTTAATCTTTGACATTGGAACGTAAATGTCCCCAAAACAAAGACAGGAAACGAAAATTGTCAGTCTCTAAACTTTTACAGCAGAATATTAAGCAAAATAGTTTTATACATCGTGGTCAACGACTTGGTAGTAAAAATGGGCCTTTTAAGAATTGGACCTGGATTCATTTTGGCTCCTAGACGATGAAATTATTTTCAGCGCTACTACTTATATTAAAATAACTGGTCTAAAACTGCCATTAAATTAAACAGAATTGCTAAAACCGAGGCGGAAAATTTTCGGTGTATGGATTTTAGTAATTGGTGCACCAGGGGAAAAGGCTGACGACAAATTGATGGATTCACCTTGTCAGTGCGCTTTTACGAAAACGGCGACAGCAAAATATGTTAGTTTGCCGACGAAGATATCTAAACGCAATATTGCAAATTTAGCTTCAGTAGTCAAATTCCGGTGTCGAGGCATAATATTGAGCTGACCGGGAGCATTTTTGCCCTCCACTAATGCCAACATACTGTTACGCGATAATCTTACTGAGGCCACTACCTCTAAAGGCACACTAGTTTCCTACAGTATCGACGAGGCACGATATTCCTGTTTCCATACATTGACATTGAATATGCGTTACCAAAAAGAAACACTAGGTCAAAAATTTCACTTTAGCAACGGTTGAGGTTTAAAATACGAATGAAAAATTAATATCTTTTGGAAAAAGAAAGCTTAAAAAAAACTAAAGCCCTTTACGCACAGTTTACTACCATGAAATCAAACACTTGTCTGTTTAAATAAAGCAAAGTCTACGAATAGTGCAAGAAACAAGGAAACATTACAAAAAAACAATAACCATGGGTCATATTTAGAGGTGCAAAACATATGTTGAGGTAGCAGTTAAGTTACAAAATGCACGAGCCTGCTCCATCCAGCAATCGACTCCATGGGCTACAGATATTTCCATGGAGCGCCAGTAGAACTGATTTAGGAGAGTTCAACTAGGCAGTCAGAAATCATTAAATAAGTTGTGTTCAATTATGAAAGTGGTGTGATAGAAAGGGGCCATTATGGACCAGTAAACGTTAATTCAAGCGACATGAGAGCAAAATCGGTAACTAAACGCTTTAGAAACTATTCAAATTTTTCCAGATTCCTTATGGTTTTAGACTTGGTTTAATTAAGGGACAATTTCTAGATAAAAGTAACAGTTAAAAAGGATGGGTTTGGGCATTTCAGTAATTGTGCCAATTTCTGGAATCAATTCGTTTGCAAGCTATGTCTAAATATTGATAACTCACGAAGTGCTTGTCCGTCAAAAAGCGAATTTCCAAACGATGAAGTGGGAGAAGGTGGCGATGCCATGAGAGGTGGAGAAAAACTGCCAATCGAATCCGTGCCACTCTTCACACGGCTATTTACCTCAGCGACTACACGTGAATGAGGGCTGGTGGAAGTGCGCGAAAAGGGGGAATGTTCCTTGACTTGTATTGGACCATTATTTGCTGGACCATGCTTCAACCTTGGTGATCTAGAATAGGGAAATCGTCGCCTTTCTGTGGATCCACGTCTTAAGCGTTTGACAGCAACGAATTCCGGCGATACGTCACCACTGGACCGACGCGAACGTTGTCTACAAGTGGAGTGGCCTTCTTCAGGCGACCGTCGCCCGATGTGACGATGCCGGTCACGTTCATGTGATTTGTGATAATGTTGACGATGCTCACGATGTACATCATTATCTTGGTTGCAGCGATGACCATGTTTGCCAAATAATGCGGAACTACCATTGACAATATCATAATGACGCGATGATGTTTGTTTGTGCTTTGATGAACTCCTAGACATTCGGTCTACAGGGTAAAAGTTGTCAAATGCCATTTTTTCCGGCAATTTTGCTTAACAACACACTTTTATGTAAAGTAAAGAGAAACGACCATTTTAAGTTACAAACGTAACATTTGACCACATCACCATAAACTGAAAAACATTTCGCCACCACGATAAACTTAAAAATGGAAGCCGCAACCAAGCAGAAAAAGGAGTAATTTGTGGGGAACATTCACTTTCTTGACTAATATTGAATTAATTGAGCGTGACGACGCAATTTGATACTCAACTTTACTTAAAAAACAGCTTGTGGGAGTGCACAGAAACGCATGTCCAAAGTAGCACAAAATAAGCAAATAGATGGGCCGTTATCCTATTTAGTCTAGTGGATCTTCGTACACGAAGACCGGATTTCAAACAATAGTCCCGTGAAATTATTTCAAAGTATAGAAAAAACCAAATATGCAATACGAATGATAAAAAAGGTTGATAATTAGGAATATACAACAACGGATGCGCAATGTGAAAATACACCTGGGACAAATAAGGAACCACCATGAAAACGCATGATTTCAAGAATAACTATCAAAACCAAAAAACCTAAAAAAATGATTTGTTTTTGTGAGTAAACAACTAAACGAGCAACTGAAAAAGAATTGGGACATACTGCAATAAACAAATCAAGGGCGTACACGAAAAAGACCCTAATCACAGATTTGTAGTGCCCGCGTAAAAATTAAGACTTACGTGTAATGAATAAAGTGCCCGTTGTTAAAAATATCGTTTTAAGTTTGCTGCATTTTTTATAAACACTTTGTCCACTAATGTTTCCTTACCTCAAAATTTGTTTTGCATCTTTTTAAAGCAACTCTTCTCAAGTACCCACAATCAGATAATATTTTTTTAGAACACATGAGAGCTTTGCCCTCTAGTTGAAATAACATTTGACTACAATAAAAATTTGGATTCATGTATCAATTTTAAATAATTTTTGTGATTTTGCATGACATACAAACGGTAGTATTCATAACCGCTTTTTGTTAAGCTATTATCGGAAGTGAGGTTAATAATATGCCAGGTATCTGCTCTGCATAAATAGCAGTGGATATTTCAAGTAGACTTTTGAAATTTGTGTTCTTCATTAGTGCATTGCAAAGGTTTTTTTCCTCTAAGCTTTTTTTATAATTACGGACCCAACGAAATGTTATTGATGTGCGCCAATTAAATATAAAGTTTGTTGGAATAAATTGGGAATCTCTTGTAGGCAAAAGTAACAAATATTGCTAACTTAGAATAGTTAAAATAATTAACGTGATTTAATTTGTACTAAAACCTCAAAAACCGTTAGGAAGAAGAAATGGCACACGATGAAAATGAATGTGATACTGATCTAGAATATGTTTAGGAACGGGGACGTTCCAGGGCGAAATGCGCAAAGCATTCTTTATGAAAAAAATTATTAGTCTGGGTATTTTTTGAATGTTTGAAACGAACAATAATGCTTGTTCTGCGATACGAGAAATTTCGTCAAACCCAAGCAGTGTCAGTGCGATGTTAGTGATGTTAATACAAGTTTTTTTTCAAAATTTACAATGCAATTTTTGAACAATTTTATAAATAAATATTTCACTATAGGATCGCCGCATTTGCTAGTAATTTAAGCATTTATCTATTAATATCATGCTGCCTCGCATTTATAAACATATTTTTCAGATTTAAATCTTACCTAATCACAAAATAACTACTTCAGTTTAGTGAAACATTAAATTTCGATAGAAAACATAACTACGGATTCAAAATAATTTTAATTGGAACTCTTGTTCCAGAAGCCGATCTACTTTTCTTCTGACAGATCTTACAATCTAACCAGTTCTGCCATATACTAGATTGTTGCAACATTGCAGCCTTCTTTGACTTTTGGAAACAGTTACCATTCAGCCTCGGGTTCCCTTTTATGCTGCGTTGCTGTTCAAATTTCGCTTCGCCTCCGTATGTGGCCGTGGTTTGCTTTCATTGTCTCTTAGAGGCCATCTTGTGCCCTGAGACAGGAGATTGGTTGATCTTGTCGTCCTCCAATATGGTTGCGCTTTAGCCGATGCTATTGTAGAATACCCGAGCCCTAGTAGGAAAAAGACCGGTACAACAGAACAGGCTTTATTGACCAATCACAAGCCAGAGCCACGCATTTTATTGGATCGCATAGAGACACGGGATTGGCTGAGGCCAAACGGTCCAGCATGTCCGCGCCCTAATCCGACGCCACAGTAAAATACCCGAGCCCTAATAGGTAAAAGACTGGTACAACAGAACAGGCTTTATTGACCAATCACAAGCCAGAGCCACGCGTCAGGCGCCTTTCATCCGAGTCCACCGCGCTGGCCACGCCGCTCATTATATACTGCATCTCAGTCGTGTCCTTCTCTGGTTGGCTGCCTCTCTTCCTCGCATGCCATTGGAACGCAGAGGGACACAGGATTGGCTGCGGCCAGGTGGTCCAACATGTCTGCGCCCTGATCCGAAGCTGCACTGCCTCCCCCTTAGGAGTAAAGCTGTCCTCAGTTTCTGGCTTGGTTCACCGCACTGTTCATGAGTGGTAAAATATCCAGTTTGACAATTCCCGCACCCCACATCTGGCAGGTTAGTAGCCCATGCGAATAGTTGACGAGGGACATTGCTCTTGTAGACTTGCAGGAAGGACTCATCATCCATTGAAGGTCCATTCGCAGATGCAGTCCAGCTGGCTTTCACTGTCCAAGTCGTCGTCGCTGAACTGCCAATGCCTCTTCAGATGCAGTAGTCCTAATCCCGGGCAATGTCTATGGATCCATTTTTTTTGGACATCGGGTTGCCGCCATGACAAATTCAGCTGGCATTTAAGGGCCTTTGCCTATGTTGACCATAGATGAAAAAGGGCTGGGGTTCGATTTGCGTTATTTGAACGCATCCGCTGCCACCAGTGTAGAATACCCGAGCCCTAATAGGAAAAACACCGGTACAACAGAATAGGCTTTATTGACCAATCAGAAGCCAGAGCCACTCGTCAGGCGCCT